GAGAGAGCGAGAGAAGACGAGAGAGAGCGAGAGAACGCGAGAGAGCGGCAGAGAGCAAGAGGGAGCGAGAGACAGCGAGAGAGGGCGAGAGAGAGCGAGAGAGAGCGATACAAAGCGGGAGAGAGCGAGAGAGAGCGAAAAAAAGCGAGAGAGAGCGGGAGAGAACGAGAGAAGGCGAGAAACAGCGAGAGAAAGCGAAAAAAACCGAGAGAGAGTGAGATTGATTGATTGATCTTTATTAGCTTTCACAGCTATTACATATACATAATTACTATACATTATTTAACACATATTCTTTTAACAGTCTCTTATATAATATTAATTCTTCACATTGTTTTATCTCGGTGGGTAACGCATTATACATTTTTATTCCTTCGTAAAACAGGCTTTTTTGCGCACTTCTCGTTTTACGCAATGTTAGTACTATGTTTCCGGCCTGCCTCGTTTGTCTATCACATTCTTTTCCCACTATTTCTATTTTATTACTTAACGCCACCGATGCCATGTTATTTAGTATTTTAAAAATAAATACACCTACATTATAATATAATCGTTGCCTTACGGACATAAACTGCAGCGCCTGCAGCATGTCCTCAACTTTGGTATATCTATTACATTGCAATATGACTCTCATGGCACGGTTTTGAGCTACCTGCAGTTTATTCAACTGCGTTTCTCCCATCCCGACTAATAGAGTGGCACAATACTCGAAATGAGGTGCTATTATGGACTTATATACAATACTCGTACATCTAGTGTAGGCTGACACAAAGTTACCTATTCTGTTTAAAAAACTAGTCTTTTTCCCTATTTTCTTAAGCATATAATCGCAATGATCTTGAAATCGTAGTCTGTCATCAATAATTATACCTAAATATTTTATAGTTTCAACACGTTCTATTTTAGTTCCATCCAAACATTTCAAAATAGTATTGCCTCTCAATTCTTTTCGAATACTTCTAACTACCATATATTTCGTTTTATCCGCATTCATTTTTAATTTATTTATATTCATCCAGCGTCAATTATATTAAAAACCATATTCATTTTTATCTCTATATCTGCGCTACTTTCTCCACTTACATATATAAGCGTATCGTCTGCAAACATTTTTATATTGCATCCCTCCGGACATACTTCGATTATATCATTTATATATATTATAAATAGTAGAGGTCCTAGTACCGAACCTTGTGGCACTCCGTATTCCGTTCTAAGACGTTCTGACCGCTGATTGTTAAATTTGACTTGTTGCGTTCTGTTGTTTAGATATGTTCTAAACCATTCTAGCACTATTCCTTTCATTCCATATTGCTCTAATTTTTCTAACAATCTTGTCCTATCCACCGTTTCAAATGCCCGTTTTAAGTCTATGAATATTACTCCTACTATTTCTCCTTCACTAATTGTTAACTTCCAATCATCAATGACGCTTTGTATCGCTGTTTCGCACGAATGGTATTTTCTAAATCCTGATTGATGCTCTGATATAATATCATTATTATGTAAGTATTCATCTATTTGTTCCTTTACGACTAATTCTAAGACTTTCTCATAAATTGGTAATATATTAATTGGTCTAAATTCACTTGCTTTCTTTGGTTTCTCTACCTTAGGAATTGGTACAATAGTAGATGTTTTCCATCCCTCCGGACACACTCCTTTTAATAATGAATCATTTATTATCTTCAATAGTTCATTTTTTATTACGTGAAAGCTCATTTTTAATATATCACTAGATATTCCCTCATCTGTTCCTTTTTTCTTTGGCAAAGCCATAACAATTTGTTCAAGTTTCTTTAAATTTATCAACTTAAAATATTCCATTTTATCTCTACTATTTACAACATAAATGGTTTTTGTATTTTTACTGTCTCTTTTTTCTATAGATTCTATTATATCGTTAATGCTCTGTATATAAAATATATTAAAATTATTCACTAACGTACATTCTTCTACATTCTTTAATATTTCAAAGTCTATGTTATTAATTTCTTTCGAACTCCTAGTCTCTCCTCTTATGACTTCCTTTAGAGTTTTCCACATTAATACAGGATCATTTTTATTATCATCTATCATGTTCTCATAATATTCTTTCTTTTTCTTTCTAATTATTTTGACTGCCGTATTTCTCTCAGTTTTAAACTGTAACCAATCTTGTTCTTCACCCGCGTATACCACTCTTGCATACGCCTCATCCCTTGCATTTGTAGCTAATCTTATATCATCCGTATACCATTTTTTTCCTTCCCATATCTTTGGAATTTTAAATTTTTTCTTTGGTGCTACCCTATCTAACGCCACTACCATATTCTGCACAAATTTCTCTGCTCTTTCATTTACCCCTAAATTAATTCTACTTTCTAATCCTTCCTCTATTGCATATAAAAAATCATCTATTTGAAATTTGCTGTAATCTCTACTAATGAATTATCTATATTTTTCTTCAATATTACTTCTATTAAGTTCAACGCTTATCCATAAATGATCTGTTATCCTCGGCTTATCATATACGATACAGTTTACCTTAGTATTTGCAAAAACTAAATCTATCAAAGATTGACTATTTTCTGTAATCCTAGTTGGTTTGTCTACATATTGTTTCATGCCCAAACACAACATCTCATTTACTAGCTTTTTAGCATAAAACACTTCCGTCATTAAGTTTATATTAAAATCACCCAACATGACGCATTGCCCTTTCGCTACTAAACGGTCCACTACATCCTCTATAAATCTTAAGAAATCACCATCCGACGCGCTCGGTGAATGGTACACTACTGTAATTACTCCTTTATATATATTATCTCGCATTTCTATCGCTACACACCAACAGTTAGATACTATTTTTTCTTTAACTATTACCTCATATTTGATATCATTTTGTAACGGTTCACCTTTCCCGACGCCGCGGATCGGCTCGCCGGTTCCAGGATTTGGGAGGAAGGGGGAGATTCAGACTCGCTTATTCCTTATTAACAATGCTTTGGTTTATTCAAAAAGAAACAAGTAAACAAAATGTTTGTTGGCATAAAGCCTTAAATAGAGAAACTTATTGACTACCCGGTATAAACAAAATACGGAGGCGTATAGCCTGTAGCGGTGTCCGGAAAAGACTTACAAATTACCCGGTATAACTTAGAGATACGGTGTACGGAGGCGTATAGCCTGTAGCGGAAACCGGAAACCGGGAAATCCGGCGTAATGACGAGAAACCCGTCACCCGGTGTATAGCAGGAAGAGACCGGAAACCGGGAAACCCGGCGTAACAACGAGAAACCCGTTGCTCGGCGTGTAGCAGGAAGAACCGGAAACCGGGAAACCCGGCGTAATGACGAGAAACCCGTCACCCGGTGTATAGCAGGAAGAGACCGGAAACCGGGAAACCCGGCGTAACAACGAGAAACCCGTTGCCCGGCGTGTAGCAGGAAGAACCGGAAACCGGGAAACCCGGCGTAATGACGAGAAACCCGTCACCCGGTGTATAGCAGGAAGAGACCGGAAACCGGGAAACCCGGCGTAACAACGAGAAACCCGTTGCCCGGCGTGTAGCAGGAAGAGACCGGAAACCGGGAAACCCGGCGTAATGACGAGAAACCCGTTGCCCGGTGTGTAGCAGGAAGAACCGGAAACCGGGAAACCCGGCGTAATGACGAGAAACCCGTCACCCGGTGTATAGCAGGAAGAGACCAGAAACCGGGAAACCCGGCGTAACAACGAGAAACCCGTTGCCCGGCGTGTAGCAGGAAGAGACCGGAAACCGGGAAACCCGGCGTAATGACGAGAAACCCGTCACCCGGTGTATAGCAGGAAGAGACCGGAAACCGGGAAACCCGGCGTAACAACGAGAAACCCGTTGCTCGGCGTGTAGCAGGAAGAACCGGAAACCGGGAAACCCGGCGTAATGACGAGAAACCCGTCACCCGGTGTATAGCAGGAAGAGACCGGAAACCGGGAAACCCGGCGTAACAACGAGAAACCCGTTGCTCGGCGTGTAGCAGGAAGAACCGAAACCGGGAAACCCGGCGTAATGACGAGAAACCCGTCACCCGGTGTATAGCAGGAAGAGACCGGAAACCGGGAAACCCGGCGTAACAACGAGAAACCCGTTGCTCGGCGTGTAGCAGGAAGAACCGGAAACCGGGAAACCCGGCGTAATGACGAGAAACCCGTCACCCGGTGTATAGCAGGAAGAGACCGGAAACCGGGAAACCCGGCGTAACAACGAGAAACCCGTTGCCCGGCGTGTAGCAGGAAGAGACCGGAAACCGGGAAACCCGGCGTAATGACGAGAAACCCGTCACCCGGTGTATAGCAGGAAGAGACCGGAAACCGGGAAACCCGGCGTAACAACGAGAAACCCGTCACCCGGTGTATAGCAGGAAGAGACCGGAAACCGGGAAACCCGGCGTAACAACGAGAAACCCGTTGCCCGATACTAAAGATAGGAGGCCAGAAACCGAGAAACCCGGCGTAACAACGAGAAGCCCGTTGCCTGGCTAGGAGGTCCGGAACAGGACTGGTGCCGGCTCATCCGTCGAGCCGGCTTATATACCCTGCCGGCGGTTCCCCCACTCTACATCGAGGCTGTGGTGGGGATAACGCCGGCGTCGTAGTGGGGCGCCTCTGGGGGTTGTAGTGGGGCGCCCCTGGGGTAGGGTGACCCGTGTATCGCTTATGTTTTTGCGTTTAGGGGCGCCTTAGGCGCCATAGCCTCAAGTGGCGGGCGGGTGATCGGCCCGCGAGGCGTTAGTAACGGCCACGCCGTTACAATTTCTTATGTAAATCATTACGCCTCCTGTGTTTCTATTTTCCCCATCGCATCTAACTAAACTATATCCCGGCGCATTCACTTCACTGTCTTCTATTTCCGCAATGAGCCTAGTCTCCGACAACGCCACGACTGCAAGATTCATCCTCTTCATATAGTCTTGAATTTCATTTTTGTGCGCCATCACACTCTGCGAGTTCGTGTATACAATTGATTCCATCCATGATTGCTACTTAGTGGACTCCCAGCCCGCTCTTTTTTTCTCCTCCTCCAGTGCTCTGGTGAAAGTCGGACATTTTCTGCTTAACGCATCATGTTCGTCATTTATCTTTAAATTGTACGTTTTAATTTTGTACATACAATTTACACACCTCATCTTCGTTACCTTACAGTCACTTGCTTTATGATTTCCAGCACATTTATGACATGTTTCTTCTCGCTTACAATTTTTAGCAATATGATAGTAACCCCAACATTTAAAGCATCTCTTAACACTGTAATGTTCAAACACAGGACATTTCCTCCATCCGATATTTATTTTTTCTTTTTTCAGCATCAGCTCATGGGCAATTTCATCTACCTCCATTATTAAGGAACCGTCTTCTTTTCTTCCACTTCCAGCACGAGAATTTTTGTTACCTTTGGCCATTCTCTTTACTATTTTTATGTGGAGTTCTTCGTCAATTTTATTTTGTTCTTTGATTGAGTCAATTAAGACTTCATCATCCAGTTGCATTTCTTCTTCTCCAACATTTACAGCCTTTATTTTTGGTTTTACTTCTTTCGGTTCTGTGACCTTGAAATCGTCACCTAGCTTCTCACGTACTGTATCCCTCAGCTTTTCCATTTCTCCCTCGCTCTCACATCCAAGAATAATCGATCTTTTATTTCCTTTCTTCAACTTTAATATTCCCACTTCCAGCTTCTTTATATCTATCTTCTCTTTCACCAATTTTTTGGTAGTTTCATTTTCCTGCTCCCTCTTCGGTTGCACAATTATAATGTTTTCTTTCTTCTTATTTTTTACCGCTTCACTGTAGTTCCTCTGCAATCCTTCCTTTGAGCCACCTGCTACTTCTTGCATCATCTTCTTCAAATTTTCTATTTCTTGTCTAATACTTCCTAGTTCTTCATGAAGTGCTTCTTTAATCATACTTTTAATTTCATTTTTACAGGTCGTTTCATTTTTTATTTCTTTTACAGCTTTAATGATCCAGTCTACTTTTACATCAATGCCTAACCCTTGAATACCACCGCTTGTGGACGGTCCTGTAGATCCTGTAGATCCTGTAGATGATGTTCTATCTTTTCCTCCCGCCGCCGGTGTTTTCTTCATGATTGTTTCTTCGGCCAAAAACTCCACAAATGGTCCTTTACACAGCACGTATTCTTGATTTTTATCTAGAATTTTATGCTTACTTACACATCCTGGATGGTAAAAAAGCTTTGAACAAGTATTACATTTAACAACTTTACTCTTTATTGCCTTTTTACATGCCGAGCATCTATACTCTGCATATTCATCGTCCATGTCGATAATTACCGGCCGAGATCGCTATCTAAGCGTTCGCAGACCTGTGATCCACTTACACACGTCAGCACTAATGACCACGTATAATGCAAAAGATGTCTACCTGTCTTGCGAAAACTTCTCTGTTCCACAATAGATTCACTGCTCACATTCACATATCGCGACATCCCGGCTAGATAACCCTCATAGTTATCCCCGGTCTATAGCGGCGTAACTTGAGCAACTTATTTACCTTCTTCTCTCTCTATTTACTAACGAAAACTTAGAATTTTGACGGAGCGATGTGACACACGTCTGCTCAAGAGCCCGAGAGAGAGAGAGAGGGAGAGAACGAGAGAGAGCGAGAAACAGCGAGAGAAAGCGAAAAAAACCGAGAGAGAGTGAAAGAAGACGAGAGGGAGCGAGAGAGAGCGAGAGAGGCCGAGAGAGCGCGAGAGAGAGCGGGAGAGAGCGAGAGAGACCGGAAGAAAGCGAGAGAGCGAGAGAGAACGAGAGAAGGCGAGAAACAGCGAGAGAAAGCGAGAAAGAGCGAAAAAAACCGAGAGAGAGCGAGAGATGACGAGAGAGAGCGAGAGAACGCGAGAGAGAGTGGGAGAGAGCGAGAGAACGCGAGAGAGAGCGGCAGAGAGCGAGAGAACGCGAGAGAGCGGTAGAGAGCAAGAGAGAGCGAGAGACAGCGAGAGAAAGCGAGAGAGGGCGAGAGAGAGCGAAAAAAGACGTGGGAAAGCAAGAGAGAAAGGGAGAAAGAGGGGGGAGAGAGAGGGGAGAGAGAGAGAGAGAGAGTGAGAGAGAGCGAGAATTTATTTTTTGTTTGGTTGCTTAAAAGGTTAAGCAGCTGAGGAAAATGTCACTATACTAGGATGGGTGACCGCGGATAAGGTAAAGCAGCTTCGGACAGAATCACTTTGTCGGGATGGGTGACCGCGGACAAGTACGACGCCGTAGTCTTAAAAAAAAGTGACACCTTTTCGACCAAAAAATAACTTAAAAAATTCATATCTCCGCAACCAATAGAGCTATCAAGTTCGTTAAGGTCTCATTTTACTCGGAAAAAATCGCGCTTTCGATTGATATGGTCATCTTTTGAAAAATATGTTCCCGTTCATGAAATATTTCAAATTTTTGTTTTCAAGGTGACGAAAATCGTGTTACGTCCGGTAAAGGATACACAGTAACGTCCTACGGATAATTTTCGCTTTTGTTTTGATATTTTCGCTATCTTTTCGATATCTTTCAATAATTTTTTTTTTTTTTTGTAGATTGTATTTCAATTTGACGAATGAAAGATATAACTTAGCGAGACGCTACCGCGTCTCCTGATAATATTGTATATTTTAACAACATATATGTATATGACAAGTTTTTAATGAGTGTAAATTTTTTATAAATATAAAATATGTAAATCCGGTAACATTGACATTTAATTACGTTTTATACAGAGAATTACTTTTCTTTCGTCGGGAGAAACAGAGCAAATTTTAAAAAAATTTTACTATATCGATTACAAAAAGATATATAAATGTTATAAATTTATTTTAGCGTAATGTCAGAATTTATACCGTGATATTTCTTCGACAAAACTTCTCCAACTTCGTGTAAGATCCTAAGCCTTTCGTCTCTATAAGTAAAATTTCAATATCGCTATCGTTACATCGTAAAATATACGCTAACTCATTTTGTGTTATCTTTGTGTAATATTGAGGATTCCATATAGGTTTCTCTTCCTCCTGTAAATATTGTACATTATCAATTAATAAATAAGTAAAGCTGTCAATGCTATATATAAATTAAATTTTTCAACTAGCTAGAAACATGGGGCGGTTTCAAATAATGAAATAAAACATGTTAACTGAAGATTTTTATTTCAATAATCATTCCACACTCTTAGAAAAAGTGTGTTATTTATAATACATACATATATACGAGGTGTGTTCAAAAAGTATCGCGAATTTTGAATTTCCGCGGGTTACGTATATTCGATTTTCGATTTTTTTGTGGCGTTATGTTGGTACTCATGTTTCTCATTTATGCCGACAAGTACGGCCATTTTGAATGTTTAGTTAATTTTTGACAGCTGCTTTGCTTGCACGTGTTTTGGCTCGTCTTCGATTTTTGCCTATTCCAAAAAATGGATCAAAGAATCTGTATCAAATTTTGTGTGAAAAACAAAATTAAGTGCGCGGACGCATTCCGAATGTTGACTGTGGCATATGGTGAAGCTACCTTGGACCGAAGCAACGTTTATCGGTGGTACAAAATGTTTTCCGAGGGCCGAGAAGATGTGAACGACGAAGAGCGTGCCGGACGCCCGAGCACGTCAACAACAGACGAAAACATTGATGAAGTGAAGAAAATAGTATTGGTCAATCGTCGAATCACCGTTAGAAAAGTTGCTGAGGACCTAAACATATCGATTGGCTCGTGCCATTCGATTTTTACCAATGATTTGGGCATGACACGGGTCGCCGCGAAATTCGTACCAAAATTGCTCAATTTCGACCAAAAACAGCATCGCATTAACATTGCTCAGGAGATGTTGGACTCTGTCCGCGACTACCCAAATTTGCTCCAGAGGGTCATAACTGGTGACGAATCATGGGTTTATGGTTATGACGTGGAAACCAAAGCTCAATCATCCCAATTGAAGCTGCCGCACGAGCAAAGACCGAAAAAAGCGCGCCAAGTTCGGTCAAATGTGAAGGTTTTGCTTACAGTTTTTTTCGATTGCAGGGGCGTGGTGCATCATGAGTTCTTGCCACAGGGTAGAACGGTCAATAAGGAATATTACCTGCAAGTTATGCGCAAATTGCGCGAAGCAATCCGCCAGAAACGCCCGGATTTGTGGAAGAACAAAAATTGGCTTTTGCACCATGATAACGCCCCTGCTCACACATCGTTGCTTGTGCGCGAATTTTTGGCCAAAAACAACACACTAATAATGCCGCAGCCACCGTATTCCCCAGATCTGGCCCCCTGTGACTTTTTCTTGTTCCCGAAACTGAAGAGGCCCATGAAAGGACGACGCTACGCTACGATTGAGGAGATAAAGACGGCATCGAAGGAGGAGCTGAACAAGATCACAAAAAATGATTTTTTGAAGTACTTCGAGGATTGGAAAAAACATTGGCACAAGTGTATAATATCTGGTGGGGATTACTTTGAAGGGGACAAAATAGATATTCATGAATAAATAAATAATTTTTGAAAAAACACAAAATTCGCGATACTTTTTGAACCACTCGTATATATATATATATATATATATTCATTTAAGTTATATGTATATCTACTTATTTATATACTTATTTATATGTATATGTTTTATTGGCGATGACCTTAAATCGTCATCGACAGATGCTCGGTCCTCAGATTCCACACAGATGGATATCACTTGTGACGTGACGCTTTTGGAGCGCCGTCACAAGGGCGAAAAAGCCCGATCGGGTAGGCCGCGGAGACCTGGAGCGCCCCTCACTTCGGGGAGGGTGCGATCCGTCGTTTTTCGTATTTCGTATTACCGTATTTTTTGCGAGAATCGCCGTTGCACGCAGCATTGGCCTGTCGATGCGCGTGCGACGCGGTTCGTAGGTAGAGCGACAAGGACGGCTCGAGAGAGCGGCCGGAGAGAGACATGTTAAGCAAGAGAGAGAGGGAGGATGCCGGAATACCGCAGCGCGAAAGGAGGATGGAGCGAGCGTAGGAGAGAGAGAGCGCGGGACCTCGCGCAGTTAAGTATCAAGTATTCGTAATTTAATTTGATATATCTCGCGCAGAATCTAGGCGTTGAAATATTATAGATACCGAGAGGACTCCGGGAGCCAAGTAAACCACAGGGCCGATCCTGAAGGGGGACTACGGAGGGCCCGGCCAGCCCCCGTTTGTTCCCGAAGGAGAGATGCCGCGGGAAGAAACCCGGAGGAAAATCCTGTCGAACAGCGTTCCGCTCCCGGCGTGAGAATTACCTCAGCTAAAGGGGGAGGCGGGGGGAGACCTTAGGGCCCCCGCCATCGACCCTATCATCGAAGGATGCGCAAAAGATCGGCGCGAAAAAGAAGGTACCGAGACGCGCGAGGCCCGGCTCTCCACTGTTCGGTGTGCCGTAGACTAGAGAGGGTGCCTCCAGGACTCCACAAGTGCGACTCAAGGACTCGAATTCACCGCCAGAAACTGTAAGCCGCCTCTCGAGTAGTCGTAGTTACGTGTTGGTTGGTACCGTAGATATTGATCGTGTACCGTAATTACCGTGAGTACCGTACTCTCTCATTTTTCGTATCGTTTTGTGTGTGAGAGAGCGGTCTCTCTCTTTTCGTTTTTCGGGGTATCGTATCGCGGGGCCAGCCGACTTTGCGTTTCGCGAAGAGAGCCCTCTCCGAAAAGTGCCGCCGACAGTCTATCGTCTCGAAAATAATTATCGTAAATTCGGGTTACCGAAATATTCAGAGTCACGTTTTTATTAGCTCGATTATTAGATTTTCGGGATTTGCGTGTAGCCGTCTCCGCGAGTTTGTTAACTATTTCATTGTTCTCGACTCGGCGAGAGAGTCGTGCGAGAGAATCACGAAATCTCCGTCATCTAGTTGTTATCTTGTTTTTTTCATACCGTGCCGTGTCTCGGAATATCGTATTGTGACCTCTGTCTATTCCGCGTGCCCGCGAAAATAAGTTAGACCATCATAACGTTTACCGATTTTGTATTTGTTATTCCGTTTGTATATTATTGTCGCGAAATTATATAGAATGTTTCACCGTGTATAATTAATACTAATTTTATAAGTCAATTCCGAAAATACCGATATTCGCCGATCTTATGATATTATATTGTTCGTTTCAATACCGCTAGTTTATCTATTACTGTTTGTTACATAATTTTAGTATCCCATTGTATGTATCCGATGTCAAATTGTAAATCCTAAGTGTCAAATATATATATCTGTCAAATTCTAACACCACGTGTATGTCTCTCTATACCTCTCTCTCAACCATAGACCCATCACTCCTATAGACCCGCGACTCTGTATGACTTTTGGAGAAGTGACGTTAAGTACCGTTCACAGTATTATCGTGGCGCGTTCACACGCGCCTGGCGCCCAACTTTACCGTGAGTTAATGAACGCCCCTAAGGGCGTAGAATTAACTCTTCTGATACCGATTTTTACCGTTTTATTAGTTAAACTTGGAGAACCTTTAAATTGAACGCTCCCCTGTCCGAACTTGGCGTTTCGGCACAGGAAAAGACGTTGCACACTCAGGTTATTAATTAAATCAGGATGTGGATTAGAGATTAGAGACATATATATATATATATATATATATATATGTATTATGTTCCAGTTAAAATGTATCTTATTGCGATCTTCTATATATCGTAGAGTCGTTACAGACGCCGGAGATTTCGCTGTCGTTAACGCCGCCAGAATGATTCTTTCCCTGCGTTTTTCTCTCTCTCCGGTCCGCTCGAAGATCCCCATATTTATACGCGTTGTCCAAAAAGTATTTCCACCCCAAAGTATTGGATCAATCGGAGCAGTTTTTATTTTAACAGATTAAATCGTTTAGTCTTTACGAAAAACAATAACTTTGGCGAACGAGAGAGATTCGGTTGACGGTCGCAAAAATAAATAAAAATGTAACAACACATGATTAAATTAAACCGGTCGAAGGACAAGTAGACGAAAATATAAATAAAACAAATCAACGTCTCTCTCGTTTTTCTTTCCCTTATATACGGCTAAATGTACTTCGCGATAAAATAAAATATATAAGAATGCCTACAATATATTTTTTTAATTAAAAAAAAATTAGCATTAAGTTAGTCAGAAAAATTTCATTTTTAATAAAAAAAACGGTCTAATCAATGCATAATCGTTTGTTGATGATTGTTGGTTTAATTTTATCGTTTGTTGGTTTATTATTAGTCTTAAAAACGAAAAATTATCACATTGAAGTCGCATCTACAGAAATCAAATATTATGATTTTGGTTTATTGCTTACGATTTAAGACTTATTTCTATAAATGTAAGGCTAACGCTATGAATACGGACCTTAAGGGGTAACATCTAGTCCGAAGGCAAAAATCATAGGCTGTTTTTGTGAATTTTTTGTGACGTTGCTACTGAATCGATTAATGTGAAATTTTCAGGCCAGAATATACTTGTCCTGGGGTGCAAAAATATATTTTTTTATTTTCAGTTTTATTACAAAATGGCGGCTCAGCAGCGCGTGGAAAGAAAATCGAATCTTTGTGAGGCATCTCGCGGCTAGCAGCAGAAGTCCCCAACGAATGTATCTGGAAAAATGAAAAAAATGTTTTCATAATCTATACGAGTATAGCTAGTGAAGTACACACGATTTTTAGGATCAATAAACAATTACGATTTTTATAAACAAATACAGGTCGAGTTTTTAGTCTCGAAAAATCGTTTTTTTGTTCACAGTGCTGCCAAATTTGCAAAAATCAATATTTTGTAATATCCATGTGTACTTCACTAGCTATATTCGTCCAAAATGTTCAAATTACAAAATTCGTCGCTGGTCAGCGCGAACATACTAGTCTGGCATTTTTGCAAGATGAGTCCATTTTCCAATCTTTTTTCTTTTAATTTGATCACTCCTTATATTGAAAAAGGAAAGATTTTTTTATTTTTTATTTATTTATTCCCGAATAATAGAAATAATAAATTATTAAATTACTTACATATTCAATTTCAGTGTCGCTTGTTAGGTCTCAACAAAACAATAGTTCAATGTGTGTCTTTATTATAAATTTGTCTGTTTATATAGTCAACTCTATTGTCTAAAATTCAAGGTTAATTTCTTTAAAAATGTTTATGATAATTCTTCGAGAATATCAAAATAACTGCTTTCCAATAATTCTGTTTTCTTATTCAGATTAATACAATTTTTATGTTCTTTTATATGTAACATTTCCAATATAAGTCTCTTATTATAATTAGGTTCTTGATCTAAAATTTCGGTCCTGTCCCAGTTAAATGTGTGACTATTTTTTAAAATATGTTCAGAGACTACTGAGTGTTTATTTGAATCTAATTTGATATTATTTCTATGTTCTTTAATTCTAGTTCTTAATTGTCTTTTTGTTTGTCCTATATACATTGCGTCACACAGTCATTGCAATTTATTTTATAAACTACATTTAAATTGTTAAGATCTTCATTTTTTATCTGGTACATTATCTGAGTTCGTCGCTAACAATATATCGTCAACATATCTAAAATAAAAAGTCAAATTCCACTGTGATGCGTCAATAATTGATGTTTCTAGATCTTGTAACACTAAATCCGCAATAATTGAAGAAAAAGGAGATCCCATCGGAGCTCCGTTTTGTTCATGTCTTATTGTTAAAATTGAAATATGTGGAAGTTAGTATAAATTTGATAGCTTTTAAAAATTCCTCTTTTGGAATTTCCGTCTGTGATTCAATATAATGCCATCTATTATTAACGCATTCTGTTCGCGAACGCGCTGCGTGAGAGAGGATCGCGCGACACAATAGGATAAGTCACCCTTTCTTTTGTATTAAAAAAAGTTTAATTTCAATACACACTTAATTACAAAATACTTGAACAAGACTTATAACATTTAAATATTTCAGTGACAATGTAATCGAGAACAAAGTGCGGAATAAGCGGCGGTCGTCAACGAGATTTTAGCGGATCAAAATAATATGCGGTTTGCGTTATGCGGTCACTGCGGAAAGCGATAAGGCGCGGATTTCGGGCGCGAGCTCTCTCTTATGGGTTTCCGAAGAAAACCCACTTTTTCGGAAAGCGCCAATTATTGCGAGCAATTTAAAATGTGCTCGAGGTGACTCGAAGGCACAGCTCATTATTGGCCGCTTTTCTAAGATGCTCAACGAACTCGCGTTTTGCCATGCGCGCGCGGCCGCTCGCTATTTCTAATTGGTGATCGAGGCCGCGTGGCAATTTTGCGCATGCTTGTAGCGCGAAAAGTATCCGGTAAAAACGGTTGCAAAATCGCTAATTGTTTGTGTGCAAAGAATGTTTTTGAGATGACAGGTTTAATTTATGACAGCTTTTTTCCGTGACAAACATACAAAAAAGACCGTGACTTTTATTATTGACGCGGATGGAAAATTCTAGAATTTACAAAAATTTTACTTAACATCTCAAACATTCCCGCCCGCCTTGTCGCAACGTGACAAAGGTTGGTGGTGGTTCCGGCGCGGATCACATTCCGATAGCGATCGATGGTGGGGCGGGCGCGCCGGCGCGGCGAAATACACGTGGTGATCGCGTGGTGTGAATCGATCAGCTGAGCCGATAAGAGCACGTGGTGAACGCGTGGTGTGAAATAATCAGCTGATCCGGTGAAAACGCGTGGTTGATGTGAACGGCGAGTGTGCAATGCAGTGAGCGGTGATAACGAAATAATTTTTTGTGCGGTGGTGGATGAGATGAGTGACGTGCGACAGATGCTATGATGCATGATGTGATGATTGTGTAATGAGTGACGTTACGAAGTGTCACCGTGCGGTGTAGGTGCGTCGTTCACGCCCGGGAGGAAAACAAGCTTGACGAGTGGGCGCACAAGCTCGGACGTGGCCGTTCGGATTGACACCACGCGTACAATCCCATCGTCCCCGGGGTGCAGTCGCGATATGCGAGCCAGTGGCCATCGGCTCGGTGGGGTGAGCTCGGAGCGCACGAGACAGAGATCGCCGACGTGGGGTGCAGCTTCGTCCTTGAGCCATTTGGTGCGCGAGGCTAGTCCGTGCAAATATTCGGATGACCAGCGCTGCCAGAAGTGATCCCTCATCTGCTGCAAATGACGCCAGCGTGACAAGGTGGATACCGTCTGCCCTGTCAATGACGGTTCCGGCACAGCGAGTAGCGGCGCCCCGACGAGGAAGTGACCGGGAGTCAACGCCGAGACGTCCTCTGGGTCATCTGAGAGTGTCTGCAATGGACGAGAATTAAGACAAGCTTCGATCTGGGCGAGGAGTGTGCTCAGCTCCTCGAACGTGAGGGTGGTCTCGCCGATCACCCGACGGAGGTGGAACTTGGTCGACTTCACTGCAGTCTCCCAAAGACCACCAAAGTGCGGGACCGCTGGCGGGTTGAAGTGCCAGCGGATTCCTTGAGCGGTGGCGGCAAGGAAGATACGATGACCTTCGGCTGTCGCTGCATCGAAGAGACCTCGCAGCGTACGATCTGCCCCGATGAATGTCGTGCCGCAGTCGCTGTAGATCTCAGCACAGAGGCCCCTGCGGGAGACGAAGCGGTGCAGAGCGGCGATGAAAGCTTCTGAGGTGTAGTCGGAGACGACTTCCAAGTGAGTGGCCTTCGACCAGAAACAGACGAAGACTGCGATGTACCCTTTGTGCGCACGGTGTCCACGTCCCTTGCTGGTCCGAAGGAGGATGGGTCCTGCATAATCCACGCCGGTGCTGAGGAACGGTCGGGTTGGCGTTACTCGGTCCCGAGGAAGGTTACCCATCTGAGGCTGTGGCGTGGCAGCACGCCATCGAGTGCAGGTAACGCATTGATGTAGCTGCTGCTTGACGGCGGTTCTTCCTCGAGGTACCCAGAAGCGCAGGCGGAGCAGGCCGAGTGTCAGCTGCACACCCCCGTGCAGTGTCCGTCAATTGCAGGAATCGATCACCAGCCGAGTCAGCCAGGATGCCGCCGGGATGATCATCGGATGTTTCTCGTCGAGCGGAAGTTGAGAGTTTTTGAGACGTCCTCTGACGCGCAGTACGCCTTGATCGTTGAGGAACGGACTCAACTTCACCAGGTGGCTTCGCGGTGGAGTAGGGCGTCCAGCAGAGGCCGCGGCTACGTCCGTCGGAAAGTGGAGCGCCTGCACCACTCGCAGCCATCGAAACAACGCGGAGTCCAGCTCGTCAGGATGCAATGGACGGCCAAGTCTGGCGTCACGTCTCACCGGGTTGAGCCATCGACGACACCACGCAGTGACTCGCAGCAGCCGTTGCAGCGTCGGGAACCGTAGAAGAAGGTCCGGTTCGGTAGTGACTGGCGCCTTGACTACCAGGCTGGTGACTCGCTGCTCAGGGAGGTCATCCTCTGGGACGTCGATGTCTGCACCAGGCCATGCAGCCTCGTCTCCTGACAGCCAGGTAGGTCCTGTCCACCACAGTTTATGATTGAGTAAGTCCTCAGGTGTAACACCACGCGATGCACAATCTGCAGGGTTTTCTCGTCCGGCGACGTGTCTCCAATGAGCGTCTGGAAGCAGGGTCTGGATCTGCGACACTCGGTTGGCAACAAAGGTCTTCCAGCGGGTGCAGTGTCCGCGAATCCAGTGAAGAGTGACCTTGGAGTCGGACCACAGGTGCACCGGCGTAGCAGCCAAGCCGAGGGTAGTGCGTACGTGCAGCATGAGCGTGGTGAGTAATGCGGCAGCACAAAGTTCCAATCGAGGTAGCGACACCTGCTTGACTGGTGCGACCTTCGATTTTGCCATCAGCAGATTAATTGATGTTTTCTCTGTTGCAGCGTTGCGGATGTACACGACGGCGGCGTATCCTCGCTTCGATGCATCGGCAAACCCATGGAGCTGCAATTGCGACTGGTCATCTCCGGTGCTGAGCCAACGATCCACACGGATGTGATCCAGCAACGGAAGTTGATTCAACAGTTGTTTCCAGCGGTGTGCGTCCTGATCAGGCAGCGGAGAGTCCCAATCCAGCCGTTGAAGCCACGTAGACTGGATCAGAATTTTGGCTCGGATGACGACAGGCACTAGCCAGCCCATCGGATCGAATAGTCGAGCTGTCTCGGCCAAGACTCGTCTCTTCGTGAGGTCGGTGATTGAACGTGGACGTATGGTGAAGGAGAACCAATCCCCTTGAGGATGCCATCGAAGACCCAGGGTGGCGTGGCTCTCTCCTTCCCACGAGCGCGGTCCGCGTTGAAGCCGATGTTCCGGTGGAATTCCGGTGAGCACCTGCTGATTGTTGGCAGCCCACTTTCGCAAAGGAAATCCGCCCGCCATGCAGAGACTCTGTAGTTCCTGTTGGAGTTCGATAGCATCCGCTAGGCTGTCAGCACCGGTGACCACGTCGACGTAACAGTCGTGTCGCAGCGCCCTGACTCCGCGTGGATATCGTGCCTCTTCGTCTGCAGCAAGTTGGTGAAGAGTCCTGATGGCGAGGAAGGGTGCGCACGCCAGTCCGTAGGTCACGGTCTTCAACTCGTACTCGCGGATGTTGTCTGAGCCGTTGTGGCGCCACAGGATGGTTTGCAGGCGACAATCCTCCGGATGCACAAGAATTTGTCGGTACATTTTCTCGATGTCCGTGACGAAAACGTACCGATGCCAACGCCAACGGAGTAAAACGTCAGCGAGTGCTGGCAAGAGGTTAGCTCCAGTGAGGAGGTGCGAGTTCAGCGACTCACCGGACCGTGTGCGTTGGGAGCCGTTGAACACAACCCTGAGCTTCGTGGTCGTGCTCGACTCCTTAAGGACCCCGTGATGCGGTAAGTAGCACCTGGGGCCAGAACCTGTCGTAGACGTACTAACCTTCTCCATGTGTTGCAGGTCTTCGTATTCGTCCATGAAGTCTCGATAGAGATCACCGAACCGAGCATCACGGGCTTCCTTCCGCTCCATTGCTTCCAGGAGGCGCTCTGCAGGTCGACGAGTCTCGCTGAGTGATGTCGGCGGTGAGGCAAATGGCAGCCTCACCACGTATCTTCTACTGGACGTGCGTGTGACTGTGCGCACATAGATGTCCTCGCATCTGGCTTCGTCGGCGGTGAGCACGATCCCAGCTGCTGGCTCGCGTTCCTGCTCCCAGAATCGTTGCACCAGGTCAGCGAGGTCGTTGTCGGCGGTGCACTAAAACGTGCGGCGATGTCCGTCGGTGACTGCTGAGTCGTAGCCTCCGGACAGGATCCATCCCAAGCTGGTCTGCTGGGCGATCGGCATGCGTGAGTCGCCCTTGCGAAGGCCTTCCTCAAGGATCAACGAATAGACCTCTGCACCAAGAAGTAGCTCCGCAGGGTCGTCATCCAGGTATCGCGGGTCGGCCAGTCGGAGTCCTTGGATGTGAGGCCAGCTGCAATTCTCGCGTTGGGCGGTGCCTTGTTGTAGTGAGATGCGAGGCAGCACAAAAGAGACCACGCGAAGCTCGGCGTTGGTCACGTCGGATGTGATGTCCAGGGTGACCTTGCCACGAGCCGATCCAGAGCGAGTCCCTCCGATGCCAAAGATGGACAGATCCGTCGAAGCTCGAGGAAGGCGAAGACGTTGAGCCAGTGCTTCAGAGATGATGGACACCTCGGAGCACTGGTCGATCAAGACTCTAACCTCGTGTGGTGATCCGTAGCGGTCCGCGACCTTGACGCAAGCAGTTGCAAGAAGGACGGCCTTGTGACTCTCAAACTGCCGTGAGGTGGCCAGTGTGGTGGCAAGTGAAGTGGCCTCAGCGGACGGTGGTGACGTGGATGCCCCGTGCAGCATGGTGTGGTGTCGTGCGTTGCAAGTGAGGCAATTCTTTTTCGATTGACACCGTGACAAGAAGTGATTGCCCAGGCAGTTGAAGCACAGTCGGTTGATCTCCACGAATGTTTTCCGTTCGACCGCGGTCTTGGCCTTGAACTCCTTGCAGGTCATCAGTGTATGTTTTTCACGACACAGTGCACACTGAGGCGAATCTGTGCCTTGATGTCTGGTGACGTGCGCTTTGGCGAATCGTGATGCCTCTCCAGTTCCCTTTGTGACACTCCTCGGTCGTGCGGCGTTGAGGGTCAATACCCGTCGACTAATGAAGTCGAGAAGTGCCTCGTTCTGTGGTGGTTCGGTGGAGTCTGACGTGGCTGACTCCCATTCGAGACGAGTGCGTGCGTCGAACAATTCGATGACCAGGTGATTGAACAGGTCCATCCCGTGCGTGTTGATAGGACGTCCAATACTCTCCTGTGCATTGATGGCGGCGGTGACAGCGTTGTGGATGCGGCTCAGCTCCTCGGCGGTATCTCCCTTCATCTTTGGCACGGCGGTAAACGTGGCAAAGTTGGAGCGGATTAACTCTCTTTTGTTGTCGTAATGCTTGTTCAAGATTGCCCAAGCGCGATCGTAATTGTCACTTGTGACAGGTAGTGATCTTATCAATTTTTCAGCCTGACCTGTCAAACATGAGCGGAGGTGGTGAAGGCGCTCGATGTTTGAGATGGAATTGCTGCTCACAACGGACAGGAAGAGATCACGAAATGACGGCTAATCAGCGTAGCGCCAGAGAACGGCGGCAACTTGATGCGCGGCAGCGACGACTTTGATGCGACGTCGACGGATGGAGATACGTTTGGCTTCCGGAAATGTTCAGCGTAGCCATTCAGGATACTGCGTTGTGCCACGTAAAGATTTTCAGTATCTCCATGCAACTCCGACTTGAAGTATTCGCTTTCACTAAACTTCTCTTTCAGAGCCGCGCGAATGAGATCATGCTGGGCCTCAAATTTCGTCCACAGCTGATCTAGGATCCTGATGCGTGTAGATACGGCACTGGCGGTGATGTTGGTCGTGCCCAGCTTCTTCAAGTATTCCACGGAGCGTGAAATACGGACTTGGATCTCACGTTGGCAATCGATCAAGGTGTTCACATCCATGTCGAACTACGAGCTCACTGACTGCACCAAGAGACACGTTCACAAACTTGCGGATGCCGGCACGATGGATCCGGCTCGAAGGGCCAGAATTATGTTCGCGAACGCGCTGCGTGAGAGAGGATCGCGCGACACAATAGGATAAGTCACCCTTTCTTTTGTATTAAAAAAAGTTTAATTTCAATACACACTTAATTACAAAATACTTGAACAAGACTTATAACATTTAAATATTTCAGTGACAATGTAATCGAGAACAAAGTGCGGAATAAGCGGCGGTCGTCAACGAGATTTTAGCGGATCAAAATAATATGCGGTTTGCGTTATGCGGTCACTGCGGAAAGCGATAAGGCGCGGATTTCGGGCGCGAGCTCTCTCTTATGGGTTTCCGAAGAAAACCCACTTTTTCGGAAAGCGCCAATTATTGCGAGCAATTTAAATTGTGCTCGAGGTGACTCGAAGGCACAGCTCATTATTGGCCGCTTTTCTAAGATGCGCAACGAACTCGCGTTTTGCCATGCGCGCGCGGCCGCTCGCTATTTCTAATTGGTGATCGAGGCCGCGTGGCAATTTTGCGCATGCTTGTAGCGCGAAAAGTATCCGGTAAAAACGGTTGCGAAACCGCTAATTGTTTGTGTGCAAAGAATGTTTTTGAGATGACAGGTTTAATTTATGACAGCTTTTTTCCGTGACAAACATACAAAAAAGACCGTGACTTTTATTATTGACGCGGATGGAAAATTCTAGAATTTACAAAAATTTTACTTAACATCTCAAACACATTCCATTGCAAGGTTCACAGGGACATTAATAAATAAAAAACCACGTCCAATGAAACTATTATGTTTCCATTATTTAGAATTTTACCAGACAGCGCACTGCACAATTTAAAACTATTATTTACAAAGCTATTGGCTTTCGGAATACTTTTTATTAATATTTTATGGAAGAATAAAGCTAAATGATGTAAGGCCGTGTTTATAGACGAAACTATAATTCTAAAAGGAAAGTCTTTTTTATGGATTTTAGGCAGGCCATACGCCTTAGGGAGGAGGCAATCACTGGAATGTAAAAAATAGTACTCCGTTTTCGTGATATATCCCTTAGTATGCCATTTTTTTAAAAACGTGTTTAATTATTATTTCTATTTTAAGTGCTGAATTACTATTTATTATTTTGTACGTGTCCGTGTCGCTCAGCAAATTCTCCACTTTATTACACTGAGAAAAAACAATAGTTGCAATTACCATAATTTAACTATAATTTTAAGTAAGTTTAGGGGACAACAATATTTTTAAAGTTATTTTAACATTACAAATTATAGTTAAAGTTTGAAATTATTGTTGTCATAACTGAGCATTGTTAAGCAAGCAATTTAAGTTATAAACCCCGGTGGATTAGTATGGTAAGTGTTATTAATTTGTAACTGCGAGATTGGGATCGAATAAATGTTTGTAACTTATTTTTAATTAACTTTTATTTTTGTATAATTTATTTTTTTTGTTTTAACAAATTTATTTTATAAATTAATAAATATTTATTTAATAATTAAAGAAATTTTAAAAATTTTTAACATTTTAATATAACTATATAAAAAAAAATTCGATTGCTTTCTGTCAAATTTATAATATTTGGAAAAAAATATTTTCTAGAAATATATCACTACTAGAAAATAAATATTTAAATTTAAAATAATCTTTCAGCTGGAGTTTCGCAAATTCCTCGTTTAACGCTCCTTCATCTTTCTACTTCCTGCAAGCGATTCTTTTTGTTCAACATCGCTTTTTATCGAAGAATCAGATGTTGATTCCATCTTCGAAATTTTCACGGCACTGTCTATAACGAGTTGTACTGTTGTAACGTAACGAAAAAACTTATTTCAAAAACGATCTTTTCCTGTCTTCCCCTCTCTTACTTCAACAAAGCGGCTGATCCTATGGTCGAAACTGTAGCTATTGTTGCTCCTCACGAAAAAAGTTGATCCGCTCATAATAATAAAAATATAGCTCTAACGTAAAACTTTTAAGAAATATTTTTATTTCTAGAGCTAGAAATTTAAAATATTTTTAATAATTGTTCAATTATTAATATTACCAATTATCCGCATTATTATTGATAATTGTTTACTAATTTATTTTATTAGTAGTGATATATCTCGTAAATATTAACATTTCCTAATATTATAATTTTGACAGAAAGCAATCGAATTTTTTTTAAATATATGGAACAAATGTTAAAAATTTTTTAAATGTCAATTATTAAAAAATTATTAATGTTATTGTTCTAAAAACAAAAAAATATTATAAAAGATTAAAAAAATAGTTTCACACGGCGAAATTCGATCCGCGATCTCGCAGTTACAAAAGAAGAACACTACTTCACCAAGCCACCGGGGCGCTTCGATAATGCTTCTTTGCAACGTCTTAAGAATGCTGGCAAATCTTCTTTCTCGACGAATGCTTGAACGCGTTCTCTTGCTTCTAACAGAACTTGTTTCGTTAATTAGGTTCTATTAAAGGCCTCGTTTGAATCGGTGAGCATCGGTGAGGGGCAACTCCCCTTGTGAGAGAAAACAATAGTTGCAATTACCATAATTTAACTATAATTTTAAGTAAGTTTAGGGGACAACAATATTTTAAAGTTATTTTAACATTACAAATTATAGTTAACTCAGTTTTAAATTATTGTTGTCATAACTGTAGCATATGTTAATGCAATCAATTTATAGTTATATACACTATAATGTGTGGTTAAAATATAGTAAATCGTACTATTAATATGATAATAATGGCCATAATTGAAGGTTTAATAAACAAAATGTTATAGTAACTTTCAATATTTAATATAACTATATATATATATATATATATATAATAATTAATTCTACAATGCTTGTGGTTCTAACAAATTTAATTTATAAAGTTTGTCCAACTATAAAAAAAAGTTCCTATTAATATGTTCTATTTAGAAAAATTTTACCATATTAATAGCTATATTAATTTTATTAAAATTGTTTAATACTACTATGTTGAATATAAAATACTAACCATATAAAATGGTATTTTATTAATGTAATTTTATAGTAAATTTTACATACATTATATATAGTAATTTTATTATAAAAATAATGTGAGGAAGCATGTAAATATAAAATAGTTATTTTTTAAAAATAAATATTTATTTTAGATTAACACGAAATATTTTACATATTATTTTGCGCATACATATATATTTTTATTATATTTTTTATATAGCAAAACTAAACTTAAAACTAAATTATATTAATTATATATTAATATACACTAAAAAGTATGAAGTGCATAGAGTAAAAAAATTTTAATCTAGACATAACATAAATTACTTAATATAAATTTAACGTATAAGACGGGCAACAAGAGCCAAATCGCGGATGACAATGCGTTGTTCTAACGAAACTAAATAATTTTTCGTTAGAATTAAATACCGGTGCACAAGGCACCAAATTTTTACTTGGACACGGCCAAGATTTTAAATATGAAATAATCTCGTATTTTGAGATTTAATTTCAATACCCCTTTAACCCCCTACGGAAAATAAATAAATGAATGCAAGAGAAAAATATAGATCCGAAAATCGCTGAATCGGGAATCGAACCCGAGACCTTTCGCTTGCCGGGCGACTGCTCTTCCAGCTGAGCTATTCAGATCCTTTCGATTCTATACTTTTCTCTGTTATATATATTAATGTTGGTAACAAACGCATTTTTAAGCCAGCGTGTATCAAATATAAGAGTTTTAACAAGGCTCTGTAATATAAATATAAATTTAACGTATAAGACGGGCAACAAGAGCCAAATCGCGGATGACAATGCGTTGTTCTAACGAAACTAAATAATTTTTCGTTAGAATTAAATACCGGTGCACAAGGCACCAAATTTTTACTTGGACACGGCCAAGATTTTAAATATGAAATAATCTCATATTTTGAGATTTAATTTCAATACCCCTTTAACCCCCCTACGGAAAATAAATAAATGAATACAAGAGAAAAATATAGATCCGAAAATCGCTGAATCGGGAATCGAACCCGAGACCTTTCGCTTGCCGGGCGACTGCTCTTCCAGCTGAGCTATTCAGATCCTTTCGATTCTATACTTTTCTCTGTTATACATATTAATGTTGGTAAACAAACGCATTTTTTAAGCCAGCGTGTATCAAATATAAGAGTTGTAACAAGGCTCTGTAATATAAATATAAATTTAACGTATAAGACGGGCAACAAGAGCCAAATCGCGGATGACAATGCGTTGTTCTAACGAAACTAAATAATTTTTCGTTAGAATTAAAATAATTAGAGTTAAATTTATATTTATATTACAGAGCCTTGTTAAAACTCTTATATTTG